CCCCCCCCCCTAAACGGGTCATGTTACATGGGTACGTTCCCTTAGATGACGCGGAAATTCTTTCACTTCACGCGTATTGCCTTTTTGTGGTATTGCATTATTCGAGTCGATTCGTGCAGCAGTTAATGCTGGTGACACTTTTTTTAAAGTTGGTGATACTTTTCGAGCGTTGAGATGATGAAATAGAAGGAATTCTTATTTGAAATATAATTATTAAAAACAATAGATTAATTGAAAAGAAATCATTGAGTTTAAAATAATTTCGTGCTAAAGTTTAGATTCAAACATGATAAAGTTATTGTTATATTTGAATAACATTTAATTATGACGAAACATAATTATAATAATATCTTCTATATTAAAGAAATATTTGTTAAGATATTACCTAACCTAAAAGCCAAATTACTTGGCCTAGAGATTGAAATGCATTCAGATTTCTGTTACTGCTTAAACTTTCAAAATGTATCCTTTTAATTATCTAAAATAGAGGATGATATTTTGAATAGACGTAAAAACTTTTCAGTGCAAGTTTATTAAGTTACTGTCCTTTTAGTATTTTTTTTAATTCATCCTCCATCCTGACGAAGCAGAACGCTGCTTTGCATACTAAGTTTCTGAAATTAATGAATGTATTGCGTCGGTGGCTCGGGGGTCAAGCACTTGACTTGCAATCTGCATGTCCTGGGTTCGAATCCCGCCATGTACCAATGTGTTTTTCGATTTCCGATTTGCATATGTACTTTTATTCGACGTTCTTACGGTGAAGGAAAACATCGTGATGCAACCTGCACATATCTAATAAGAAATTCAATGATATGTGTGTAGTCAACCTGCACTGGGTCAGCGTGGTTGACTATGGCCTAATCACCCTTAACTTAGGGTAGGCTCCGAGCCCTCGGTGGGGACGTATAGTGAGCTGATGATGAATGAATGTACTTGAACATTATGTTTTTTAAACATGTTAAAGTAGTGTAAACCCGAAAAAAAATATGCATTTATTTGTTCTATGATCGATGAACGTAAATCTTCATAATCGAGGATGCTTTGTTTACTTTTGATACAAGATTTAGATGAATCACAATAAAAGGCAATTAAAACATAAACAAGCATAGCTTAGATATTGTTTATAAAACGTAAACGAATTAGCTGATCTGAGCTGAGCTGTTCAAGGGTTTTCACTATCGAAAGATCTGTACCAAAACATTTAGTGATCCCTTTTTTTTTCAACAGTACGAAAGAGATGACATGATTCGCTTTTTTGAATGAATAAAAAGTGTAGAAAAGTAACTTTTAATTTTATTTAAGTTTTTAAATATACTAGTTTGTTAATTTCTATCTTAAAATAGACTTGTGGAGTTTAATGACAAAAATAATTCAGTACTTTATTTCACGAAGTTTCCACAATGATTAAATTTCTAGATGTGTCATATGATGAGTCAAAGCATACTTGATAAATAAAACAAACTGATTTACATATCAAGAAAAAACTAGAAAGAAATGTTACGCGAAAATGGTTTTGAGCAACCTTCTTTAAGTTTGACAATCCATAGACATTATGACAGAACAAAATCATTTCAAATTACAACACGTGTTTAAAGGATACGTACCACTATTTCTTCAAGGCTTTCCTCAGTAATCCATTCTTTATAACACATAAAACACTAAAAACAGACTAGAATCAACACATCCCTTGCATACACTTTTTTTCTTGATGTAAGTATCGTATGAAATATTAAATCGGACTGACGGAATGCGAGCTGTTATCTGATTATCACAGCGTCTGATTAGCGCAGCACTATCTCTGGCCAACTGTATACACTGGAGTACACTAGGCTTGTACCATCTTTTGTCGTATGCCCGCAATCACAATAGACTATTGTTTGTTTGAAATCTGATTTAATCCAGTGGCTAGTTTGAATAAACGCAGTCTCGATTATGAGTCTTTATTCTAAGAAGTATGTATCATATTAAAAAGGTTCTGTTTTTTGTATTAAGTTTTCAATAAATTTATATAACAAGGATACCCTGGGCCTTTGATATAGTTATATTATAATTAACATTCATTACGTAAAAAAGTATATGAATGTAACTCATTTTACACTTAATTTATTTGCTTACAGATTGAACAGTTCCAACTCGTTCATAACACAATATTATAAGCGCCCTGTCAAAGTACACAAAATTACGTTTCTTTTCAAAGACACACACAATCTTATTCTGATGTCACTACTGAAACTCGTAAGATGTAAACATTGTGACTATTATATTTTTCATTGATAATTCTTTTTTTTTATACTACCCACAAAGTAATGTCAAATTAAAAGAAATCAATATCCCAATAGGCACCTTTGCAAACTGAAGAGAATTTTGACAATACATCTTTATAACTATTATTTTTCTTCAGGCGTTGTAAGTAAATAAAATTCCGTTGACACACTTGATTCCAACATTCGCTTTTGAAGCTATGTAAATATAATATTGAACATTTCTTTATTATTTAACGACACTAAATCTAAACGGTATAAATCAGCTATGAATATATATTTCCACTGACTGACTGATTGTTTTCCCCACTATAAACAAAACAAAATCTTTATCCTTAGAAACATAAGACTTCTAAGAAATTTTTTTCCGGTTACTTCGATTTCTTTTGCTTAAATTGCATCAAAAATATCTATTTTAATAACTGAAGGTGAAACATCAGACTAATGTCAATGAGGTGATTGTGTTCTGGAAAATTGTATACATATCGAGGTTTTACGATTAGTGACTGATTGATATAAAATAAATAATACATTTATGATGTGACGGGCGAACGAGTCACGCTAGCTATTGTTTAACAAGTATGCTCTTCACACTTTACTGATATTTCTCCTTTGAAAGTGACAAATGTTTTCACTTAGTACCGATATACGTCATACTTGGAAGTATCTCCATACAAATCACACGAGTACTAATACCCCATGAACTGAGGAACTTCAAGATAACCATAAGGTTCTCTTGCTGTAACAATAACACTAAATTTGTTGGTTAATTATTGCCACGGAATTCACGGCAATATTTTTGCGGCGACTGAAAACTATGTACTTTGTACGGCTAACAATAATATCAACTGTTGACCGTTTGAAGTTTTTTTGAAAAACAGCTTGCAACAGTTCGTATATGGCAGCCATTATCAAGCTTTGATATAAAAATATGTATAGACGTTAAGATACAGTGTAACCACGCCACGTGTAATTATAACATATTCATAATTTAGTTATTATAATAAATGAATATAAATTCTAAGGCCACCAATAGATTTTACTATTTTTATTTTGAAACATGTTCTACAAGGGATTTTCTTTTGGTGCATGGCACCCCGCAAAATGGACCCGTGATCAGGTCAGTTGCGTGAGTATTCTGGATGACGCGAACGGACTAGGACGATCCATCGTTCGCTCATTAGTGGCCGACAGGAGGCTGACATGTTGATGTTGATGAATTTGAAGCATAGAGGAACAGTATTGGCTCAGAAACAATTGTGTGAATATATATATTAGAAAAATTATTCGTACGATTAAAAGAAAAGTTGACACGAGGAGCTGCGTCCGATTCGCGCCGTCCAGTTGGCCGCGAACCGCCACGCGCATGCGTCGTTCGCTGTTTTGCGTCACATGACATTTGCGCGCCAATCAATCGTAATTTTTAACTTTTTTTTTAATTCGTGAAGTGTCAAGTGTAGTGTTAAGAATTTCTAGTGGAGTTATCGAAACGGATTAAAAGGTAGAAATATAATTTATTTATTAAATGTTTCATTTTATAATTTAGGGTAAACAATAAAAAAGTTTATTTTTGGAAGCGACAATACATTCAAAATGTTTAATCATTGTATTATTTTTCGTTATTACAATCTTTATTTTACCCACAAATTTCTTATTACTACTTATTATTATACTTTAAAACAATATTGTCTAAATGCGAATCTTGCTAAACGACTGTTTAATCTAAAAGAGGTAATATGAAATTATGATTAACAAAATTTAAAAAAAAAATCCTACAGGTTATTATCTGTTTTAAATGACTATTTTGTGCTCTGATAAAATCAAGGTTTATGTACCTACGATTAGTTTTAGCCCTTGAAGTACCTTCACTCTTAATCTTTGAATGAAAATTTTTAATAGCAATCTTTATACATGAAAAGCAGGTAATTTATCCTATATCTTATTCCTATAGTTCGAATACGATATAGTTAATTATACTTACTAAGAAATTATCATATTTTTTAATATTAGTAAAGGCGATTTGGGATAAAATCTTACCTAATATAAAAGCAAATGTTTGATTATATGGATGGTTGGATGATTGTTAGAAGGTATCTCCAAAACTGCATGGATTTTGATGAAATTTGTTATAGATATAGAACATAGTCTGAAAGGACACATAGGCTACTAATTAAGTTTTACAAACATCTCATTCATCATCATTCATCATCAGCTCACTATACGTCCCCACCGAGGGGCTCGGAGCCTACCCTGTTAAGGGTAAGTTAAGGGTGATTAGGCCATAGTCAACCACGCTGGCCCAGTGCAGGTTGGTTGACTTAACACATATCTTTTAATTTCTTCTCAGATATGTGCAGGTTGCATCAAGATGTTTTCCTTCACCGTAAGAACGTTGTATAAATGTACATATGTAAATCGGAAATGGAAAAACACATTGGTACATGGTGGGATTCGAACCCAGGACCTGCAGATTGCAAGTCAAATGCTAGACCCCTGAGCCACCGACGCGTTTACAAACATCTAAAATCTAGATATCTTTAAGAATATTTGATACAACATTTTCAATGTAACCCAAACAATTGAATAGTTTAAATACGAAATGTTGATAAAATAACACTTGTTTCAATAAAATTGAATTATTTACTTTACATAGAACGTATGTTATGATTGGTTATGTAAATTAAATATATTAGTCAGATTAAATATTTACATAACTTCATCACTTTATTACATTACCTTCTAGCCGTTGCCTACGACACCATAAGCACGGAATTAAAAAAAAATCTTAATTAGTAGCCTATGTGTTCTTCTAAACTATGTACTATGTCTATGCGAAATTTCAGCAAGATCTATACAACCATTCTGCAGATCAAACAAAACATCCATTTATCTAAATCGTATTTATAATATTACATGTAAAAAGTCCCTTCTTTAGTGTGAGCTTCCACTACCAGAATATCAATGCACGTATCAATGTTTTATGAATAGATTTTTTAACAAAATATCTTTGCTTAGATATGTATTTATTAACTCTTAATGCAATCATAATACATAAAAGTATATGACACTTATAGATAATAAATGGAGCTTAAAAATGAGGCGAAAAAAAGCCTCCGGAGGCCTTTTTACCCCAATTAAGGGAGGCTTTCTACACTCTCTCTACTCTTACACTAATAAGTAATGATATTTAAACGTCAAAATCGTACGAAATCCTCCCTCTTACTAGTAATATAATTCAATAATTTTTGTGTATTTCACCAGTGAAAGTCCACGTTTACCTCTGTTTACGAAGAGAAAATTTTTCCTTAAACATAAAAATAACGAGGTTTAAATCCAAATGATTTACCTAAACTTATAAAGGAAGGAAAACAGATAATAAAACATCAAATATCGAAAATATCTTTTATTTTATTTCTTACTAATGTTACAAATGAGAAATTTTAGATGTATAGAAGAATATTTATTAGAAGGTGTCTCCAGAATAGCTAAAAGATCTCGTTGAAATTCGGCATAGATATAGAACATAGTTTGTAGGAACGCATAGGCTACTAATTAAGGTTTTTTTGATTCCGCGCGAAGTCGCATCAGCTAATCATTACTAACATTAAGATTTTTGTTTTTAACGTCGATTCGAAAACAACTGCACTCTGTAATACACTTTACAGAAATCTGATAACATATACTATCAGTTAGATTAGGATTTGAAAACAATATCTACAATTACGTAAGCGTTAAGATTATCGCCTTACAAATTCTGTGACATCTTATAATCGTTCCAGAATAAAAATAAGAGCTTTAGCAGTGGTAGAGCCCGCTGTAACATGTTCGCACGAATTGTCCCGGCTCGCCAAGTGAAATACCACGACCACACAGAAGACAGGCGTCATGTGGAAGCTATTCTAACTACAGTCTGATGAGTGTGCGTCCCGGAAGCCTAATTTAGTCCTCGTTCCCTTTTCCTTATAAGGGAAGGAGGGGAATTGGAAGTGTGCTTTCCGGATGAGAGGATGCATGGGAAGGGAAAATATTTTCGTTCTGTCCATCCTCTCCCCCGTCGATTAAAGGTAGGCAACGCATATACAATTGCGTATGTCTTTGGGCAACGGTCACTTCGCTATTTCAGCGATATCAGGTGACCGCTCGCTCGTTTGCCACCTTATGATATAAAAATAAAAAAGTTTCCACTGCCGAAACACTCGCAAAAAAAAACATATGGTCATCCCGCTCATTCTATACGAAAAAACGAGAGGAGAGAGTACTTAATATATATTTAACGAGTGTTTCGGTGTACCTACGATTAGATTTAGAAAGTTTCAAAATTAATATTATAACTTGTTAGTCAAGCTGCCGAATTTGAAATACATTTATAAAATATATTAATTGAATGTTGGTTACATTCGAAGTGAGAGGTTTTATAACTTATATGAGTTTACAAGGACGTTAGAAATATAAAGTACTGCCTACATAATATATTTATGTAGTTCATAATCAGTAACTTACTAAAATCAATTACATTGCAACATTCATGACATTATTTTTAATACATTTATTAATATTAGCAATATTTTGTTTCAAAGAAAATTTGCAATTCGAATATTACGTCATCGATTTGGTGAAAATCCCAAAAACAATTACTTTTCATTGTAAATCGTTTGTGTATCGATCGTTTCAAAACTTTTATAATAAATATATACATGCAAATTAGTAACATCATGGAAGTTTTTTTTATTTTATTTATAAAAAAACAGACTAGTTATGAGGCCTAAAGTGTCATGAAGCTTTATGACGCTTCAGAGAAGAATACAAATAAATTCACTCATATTGTTCGTATCAATTACTTGAAATAACAACGTTTAAAAAGCATCGTTTAGTTAGAAAGACTATCCGTTAGTTTGTCAGACTAATACCTCTGTATAAAACATAGCTTCATGTCTGTAATTCTTGCTAAAACAGAGAAAACAATATGTTTTAAACGGGGACTTTAGTCTCGGAGACCCACGGTAAATGAAGCCAACAAAAAACATAGTTCGTGATCCATGACCTTAATTGTTTATCCATGTCCGGTTCTCAAATGATACCAACAAAAAACATTCAAAAAACTATGTTTTAATACCATAGCTATGTGTTTTTAATGATTTTGACCTTCACATCTTCAGTAATGTGATGAACTGCTGTTGATTGCAGTACAAAATTTAAATTATAATAAGCTTGAGCGCGTCGGCTTAGAGGTTAAGCACGTGACTTCTAATCTGCCCTGGGTTTAAATCCCACCATGTAACAATGTGTTATTTTGTTTTACACGCGTATATTTATTCGATGTTTGTTCTGGTGGAAGAAAACATCGTCATAAAAAAAATTCAAAAATATATGTGTGAATTCCCCGAGTAAAAGGCGACGAAGCGGCTCGCCACTCGTCAAGTTCCGTCTCCGAAATGGCGACAAATGGGTTGCGAAGCGTCGTTTGGCCACGCCAATTGGATCCGTGGTCTCTGCCTACACCTCTGAGTTTAAAGGCGTGATTGTATATACAATAAGCAAATGATTTGGCACATGGTGAATAACTCGTATTCTCGTACGGGCCAAATCAAATCTACTATACTATAGTTGCATTTCACAGTTAGTGATATTTTCAAAAACCAATTCTGAAAGGAAATTGCAATGCGATTTAATGCAGTAATATAACTAGATTTTGTATTAAAAATACTTAATCAAACTCCATTGTATCATAGTATTCGGCACTAAACAAACTATGTATACATCATAAAACGATTTCCAAATAATATCTAAGCACTGCTGATTATAAACACTTACTCGTGTTATTGTTACAGTCATCCGATATCCTGACTTGTAAATTAACACGCTCGCCATTTATTTTCAGTGTACATACATATCGTGACAAATATAAAAAATGTAGACGAAAATTATGTTTAGCAAAATATATAATTTGTACAATGCATAAATAAATTGTGTATAAATTCTTACGGTGAAGGAAAACATCATGATGCAACCTGCACATATCTGAGTAGTAATTCAAAGATATGTGTGAAGTCAACCAACCCGCACTTGGCCAGCGTGGTTGACTATGGCCTAATCACCCTTAACTTAGGGTAGGCTCCGATCCCCTCGGTGGGGACGTATAGTGAGCTGATGATGATGAGATCTACTTCTAGCTATTATTTTGTCGTAGATTTATTGGAGACGAAATATATCTTCGCAGCTTCGCGACCTTTCTTTCTCTTCTAAAGCCAGATTTCTCCGCGTACACCACGGAGGATGGTAACATTAAATTCATGACATGAAAATGAACCTGAACGTTGTCGGTCCTCGGGGAAAATGATAAGATACTGTCATCAAAACCCGCTCCGATACGAGTGTACACGTCTGCAACGGGTTCTTGTGAAAGTTGTTATGTTAATATTGCACGAATCCTTTGGGCCGTAAGTTGTCACAATTAGCAATATTAACGGACTTTTAAAAGGGAACAAACTTACAAAGTTATCT